CCTGCAACAATATGAAGTTTGCAGCAGCAAAAGTGCACCATGGACGACCAAAAAAAGAGTATCCCCTTCCTTTAAAGAAATGTAGAGGTAAAGAGAAAGTTCCTGCCTGTCTGCCTACCCTGAGAGTTAGCCACAGAGCTAAAAGAAGCATTGCAAATCATGACCAGCAATTCCAAACCCGCTTGTCATCTCTTCTTTCCTTGCTGGAAAGACACAGATATGCATCTCTTTTTTTTATACACATCTACTAAAGACAGTCAGTTATTTATTTTTCTTAGTGTCAGATTGTTCAGCACAGTCATTTTTCTTTGTTTTATGCTTCAACTAAGGAAGTCCAGGCCTTATTTATTATGAAAACAATGACAAAGTTGTCATCAGGCATGTTAGTGCTGCACGGTGGAATGTGTTGACTCTCAAACCATTAAGATCCAATCCAGAAGTCTCTAAAAATTACTTAAATTAGCTTTTATCAATCCATCTACCTAAACATACATTCATATATCATATATACAAAAAGCACACTATATATCTATATAGATATAGATAGATATAGATTTTTTTTTCCCCTTACACAATTAGGAGACTTCGTRTATTTTCCTCTGGAATCTTAAAGCACCCTTTCCCAAAAACTCTCCTTTTACCACTAGAGGGCCGGTAGATACTAGATTTAACTTTCCCATTATATAGCTAATGCAGGAAGAATCTGGAGCAGGAACAAATATTCTTTCATTTCTTTGTTTTGCTTGTTTGCCACCGGCCACTGCTCACAGAACCTCACTGCTTGAGTTGTTATGAAGCAAAGATTTGAAGTGCACAATTCTCGTGAGGGGAACAGAACTGCATAAATAAATATATCAGCTGCCAGGTTTATGCAGTTTATTACACATAAACTCTCTCCATACACCCCAATATGTGAAGGTGAAATACTAATAACTGCACATGTGCACAGGCATTTGGACTCAGTTATAAGTTGCCTRAGACCTTGCATCACTTTTTCAGAAGCAATTGGTAGCTAAGGTATATCAACAACCTTCCCTGCCATTCCTATGACATAAAATTAGTTGAAAATATTATTAATTTATTAAATTTATGAATGTTTACTTTTAGATAAGACTGCTTCGCAACAATTAGGATAGAATAAATTAAAACTCTTGATCAGGACCATTAAAAATTGATTCAATGCAAAAAGATCTCTGATGGACCTTCATTAATCTACTTCAGCAATATGTGCTGGAATGATTTTCAAGCACTGGCTAAAGTGAATTCCTGTGTATTTCCACTTAAGCCATCTGCCAATCTTAATACTTATTCCTGAGGGAGGAAATCTTCCAGGGCTGTTTTTCATTTGATTTGCAAGGACATCCTGTTTAGGTACTTATCAAAAGAACAGAAGAATAGATGCCAAATTC